AGAAAGTCGGCAGGCGGATTTGTGCATGGATCCACTCGGGCGCATTCCAAGACACACGCGCGTCAATGACATCGTGCGCCAAGAACCCTGGGCAGCCACAGCCGTGTTGCCAGGATAAAATTTGCGTAAGCTTCTACTTCTTGGCGTACGGCACGGGCGCGCTGCATCCAGACGCGGCAACGTGCAGCACAGCAGGTCGTCATGAGCCGCAAGAACAAACAGACATCGCCTAGACACGCGGCCTGAGCGCAAAGCACGGGGTACATAGCAGCAGGCGGTCGAATACGTGCGCTTTCTGCTGGGGCGAGCTGTACTGTGGCGAACGACTTGGGTGCTTCCGGCGGGCTCGTCCAAAGCCCGGCAGATTGGCGGCACCGCGTGTCTCCAAGCGGCCAGCAGGCATGGCGCGTTGCGTCATCTTCACGCGCAGCCGCAGTGTTGTTCGAGAGCGCGGCGTTCTCAGCGTCAACGATACTCGGATGCGTCAGGCAGCGTCGAGGCATGAGTACGGAGAGTGTCGGCGGCAAAAGGACGGAGCTGAGCCAAAGCGACACGACTTCCACGCACAGGAGCGTTGTTGCATGCAGCATGGAGGTAAGACAAGGCATGTGAGGAAGGAACACACGGCTTCGTGCGCAACTAGTGTGTGGATGAGTAAATTACAGAGTAGGGGGCAAAGGAACGCGACTGCATTTTTCCGCGAGCAAAGCATGGCAGCTGAAGTGCGGCTGTGTCGAAAAGAACCAGCTTGTGCTTGCTTAGCTCTGGCTAACTACTTTTCTTATTGTGTTCCACCACAACAAAGCGCATCCGCTGCATCACCGATTGGTTATGCACAAGGTTGGACATCGGCTGTCCCTGCGCAACCGCCAGCGGCGCACGTGCAAGCTTGTGCCAGGGACACGCGCAGGGACACGCGCATACAGGCACACATGCAGACACAGAGAGGAATTGGCGCGATGCAGTTGTGAAAGTATGTTTGAACCGCAGCTCTAGGCAAAGTACCGCGTTGCCATCGAAGCAAAGCTAGTGCACGTGTGCGGACAACCAGGTAGTGCAACAACCCACCACCACGCAAGATCTCTGAGCCCTTTGGCGCTATCAAGTTATACAGTGCAACAGCAAGGAACATGACACGTTGAGTGCATACACGAGGAATGGAAAAGCAGTAAGACAAGGAATATGAGGAAGGAACACATGAAGTCGTGCGTGAATAGTGTGTGGAGCAGCAAATACGACGTACGGGGGGCGCAAGAACGCGACTGTTTTTATCCGCGAGCAAAGCACGGCAGCTGAAGTGGGTCTGCGTCGACAAAACCAGCTGCTCCTTGCTTCTGGCTAACTCCTGCGCGCTTGCATTCCGTCCGTCAGCGATCCGTGGAGACACTTCCAGCACCCGCCTGCGCAGCCGCAAGGGTTCCAAGATTCGCTCAGTCGCTGCAGGCGTGTACGCCCGGTGCTGTAGGTGCATTCGCCCACGGCTCTCCACGGGGGTATGCACTCAGAGCTGGGCAAAGGGCTTGTTGCAAGGCGGGCGCTGTCGACTCTGTCCAGGGAGCATGCGTGCCAGGCGGAGGTCCGCGCGTAGCAGTCACGCTAGACATCAGGAGCAGTTGACGCATGCACTTCGTGGCCACGTCAACATCTGCTTCACGCAGCAGCTGCAGCTGTTCCACAATGAGCTCGGCTTGCCCTTCCGTCGTAGGCTTGGAGCACGCTATGGCCAAGGCATACTGCAACTTTTTGCCCGTCCGAGGTGGATCCAAGACGAAATCCTTCAAGTTATGAGTAAGCTATGGCTGTGTATTTTCGGCCGCGGCAGCGTCTGCCTCTGCTAAACCATCGATGATGTCTTTGGTGACCAAACGGAGCCCGCTGGCAGCTTCTTGTTGTTCGGTGCGCTTGGAGGACACCAAAAGGACCAGGGCTTTGTTGCAACTCAGACGACGGCGGAACCGGCCTGGTGTGCGTCCATCCACATCCACTGGCTCCACGTGAAATGATGTTTGAAGTAAGCCGGGAAGGCGTGCGTCCACAACCTTTGGCTCCACTTGAGAAACTCCAAAACTGTTTGTCATCAACTCTGACAGCCTCGCGGTGACCAAAGCATCTGTGCTTGGTGGAATCTGCGTCAACGCCTGCAAGAGAGACAAAAGAGGCTGCGTGGCCTCTTGCTTCAAGTCTTGTTCTTCTGCTTCCACCACAACAAAGCGCATCCGCTTCATTCCGGACTGGCTGTCTTGAGCTTGTGTCGCGGCGACATCTGCATCACGCACCGTGGCCAAGATCTTTACACTGGCCAGCAACGGCCAAGACAAAGTGTCAGCGGCGCAGTGGGAACCGAACTCCTGGGCTGCTTCCTTTCCGGATGGGTCGAGGCCAGCGAGGTGACAGGCTGCTTTCTGACGAATCCCCACGTCCAAGCAGCCAGAGAAGTCGCGGATACGCGCGGTCCAGTAAATGCGGTCTTCGTAAAGGTGTTCTGGCGGTGGAAATGGAATGTGAACATTGTTCAACTGAAAGACGCGACCGTGCAAATACTCTGTCTCTTGCTGCGCTTGCGCGTGGCAGTCCAACAGCGCACAGGCAGATAGCTGCCCGAGCACGGACGCGTAGTCTTTGGCAGCGTTATGAGGTTGCCACTCTTGCGTCAGCAAGGTTGCCGTGGCGTCCCAGAGCGCGGTCTCTTGATTGGCCAGCGCAGCCGCATGGATTCCAGTGGCAGTCTCATAGCGAAAGCCTTGCAGAGCCGGCGTGATTTTCGCTCCGCCACCGTTGACATTAGCCACCAAGGCAAAAAGAGTCAAAGGACCTCCATTTTGCAACTTGTTTCGCAAAACTTTCAACTCGGAAGCGGAGACACAGAAGAGGGTGGCGGCCACTTCTGCAAACTTGCCTGTCTCGACCTGCGAAGCATCTCGCAAGAAAATTCCGTACTCTTCCATGGAGTTCCCTCCCCATCTCGCCAGGCACGGCGCAGTCCAGAAGAGCCTGAAATGAAACCGCCGGCAGCACGGCGAGAAGCTTGTCCTTCGCCAGCGCCCGAAGCTCTTCCTGCTGCAAACTTCTCCCACCTTGTTTCCGGCTAATCCCTGCGTTCTTGCACGCCGTCCATAAGCCCTGTCGATCCGAAGATAAACCTTCCAACAAAGAACCTTCCAACAAAGCACCCGCCTGCGCAGCCGCAAGGTCTCCCAAGACACATGACCCGAGATGCTCGAATTCCGCGCGCACATCGGCAGGCGCGGCTTCCAGCAGCGTCGCCAAGATTATTGCGCCCATGGCTGCGCAAGCATCACTACAAAAGGCAAGATCTGCGTGTTTGTTTCAACAGGGTGCCTGAGTTAGTGAGTTAGCTAGCTAGGTAGCTTCTTCCTTGGTTCTCGTTGTTTTGTCTCTGTATTTCTTTCTTTCTATGAATGTGGCGCTGTTGCTGTTGCTGTTGCTGTTTGATTGTTGTTAGCATCGAGAAGCCGTCGCAGCACAGAAGCACCATCCAAGCATGCCCAAAGAAAGGGAAACAAGCTCGCGCGGACAGGGCGGGAATCGAGCCCGGGACCTTTCGCCAAACCCCCACGGTCCCTGGAGCCGGCTAAAAGCAAAAAAAAAACGAGTTTGCGCGAGCCTGCGCAATCGAAACGCACTTCAACATCAAGCAAAAGCAAGAATCTGCGGTAAATACCACGCGAAACGCTCGCGGACAGAAGTCGACACCTCACTTTGCGCGAGCCTGCGCAGTCGAAACACATTTCAACATCAAGCAAAAAAGCACGAATCTCCGGCACATACCACGCGAAACGCTCGCGGACAGAAGTCGACACCTCACTTTGTGCGAGCCTGCGCAGTCGAAACGCACTTCGACATCAAGCAAAAAAGCACGAATCTCCGGTACATACCACGCAAAACGCTCGCGGACAGAAGTCGACACCTCGCTTTGTGCGAGCCTGCGCAGTCGAAACGCACTTCGACATCAAGCAAGAGCACGAATCTGCGGTTCATACCACGCAAAACGCTCGCGGACAGAAGTCGACACCTCGCTTTGTGCGAGCCTGCGCAGTCGAAACGCACTTCGACATCAAGCAAGAGCACGAATCTGCGGTAAATACCACGCAAAACGCTCGCGGACAGAGCGGGCACCTCAATCTGGCACCAAGGCCTTTTCTCTTACCGTAAGAACCCCTTAGTGTAGACACACTGTTTGGGGAAAAAGACACATCCGAGGAATCTCAGGAAGGTCATGCATTGAAGGATCAGGTTTCCATCTCTGGCCAACCATGTAGCTTTGTGCCAGAGGGTTTGGGTTTGTCTCTAGGGAAACCTGAAAAATAGGCCGCCGCAATAACAAAGGGTACCCTGAAAAGAGGACACACCCATTTCGGGCCGTCTAGGATTTTGCAGGGGATCCTTAAAGCAGCGCCCTCAGTCTGACACAAGGCAAGGCAGGGAGGCGGAAGTGCGTTTGCGGGGGTGCTGAGCCGTGTCCATCCTACATGGACAAGCAGTAGGGGCCCGTTTCCAGCTGGGCTGAAGGGCCACACCCGCTACTTGAGGGGTGTTCCATGAAGATCAAGCCTCTTCAATACATGTCGTTTTGGAAGGAACATCATGACAATTAGGAGTGGTGCACGTCTTTGAGGGTTGGAATTTTCGGAGGTGCAGTTGAAGCAAGTAGGCGGAGTTCCAATAGCGGAAGATGTGAAGATGGGGGGGTAGCCACCTTGTAATTGCAATGGTGGGATTTACCTTCAAGTTAGGAGAGACAAGGATTCGCCTACTGCCAAAACAAGGTTCTGGGATTCTTCAAAACACCCCCCTCAATTAAGAAGGTAACGAGAAACCCTTCCAGGGGGTGGGGGCGGGTCTCTAGTTTTGTCCCGAGAAAGAAAGGCAGCTGTGTTGGGGAAGGCTGGGTACGCATACGTTGCATCACGAACTGCTAGTGTTCTCCCTGCAGCTCGTTTCAACTGGTCCTACTCTTTATCTTGTTTGATGCAAGCACGATGCTTCTCAAGCTTCTCGACTGTGGCTCCCCTTCAGGCGCGGTCCTGGGGGTGGAAGCGGGTTTGGCCCCGGTGGTGGCAGCGGGTTTGGCGGTGGCGGCAGCGGGTTTGGAGGGTTTGGCGGTGGCGGTGGAGGGTTTGGCGGAGGCAGCGGCGGGTTTGGCCCCGGCGGCGGAGGGTTTGGTGGAGGTGGCGGCGGGTTTGGCGGAGGCGGCGGGTTTGGCCCCGGTGGGAGTGGCGGGTTTGGGTCTGGCGGCGGCAGTGGGTGGGGTGACGGTGGGTGGGGTGGCGGCGGATTTGGCGGAAGCGGATTCGATGATGGCTATGGACCAGATGGCGTGTATGGAAACGGCATGTGCCTTGGCTGATCTTGCTGTACCAGTAAAGCTGGGACTGACAATCTGAAATCTATGAGCGCAATGAACAACTTGCCCGAATTGCCCAGGGGTGCGCTGACTGCGCTGATGACTGGTTTGGTTGTCGAAAACTTAAGCTTTCACGTTGCGGTTGGTCTCATGATAAGCTCCCCATTTGCAAACCACCTCCCGGGAGGAAGGCTTGAAGAGGGAGTGCATGTGCGGATGTACCAGTCGCGGGAGCATTCCCTTTTTTCCCGCACATCACGGTTCCGCGGACACGAGGGCCAAGAAGCCTCCGGTCCGGCGTTTTTCAGGGAACTTGAGAGGGATTGCCAGCTGATAGGGTTTTCCGGAAGAACTCTCAAGGGTTTACCCTTATGCCAGGGCTTCTGGGGCAAAGCTTGGAGCTCAAGGTTTCAGGTTGCGCAATTTGTCACTGCCCTAGTTGCGCCCAATTGTAGGTTGGCGTTATGACATGATCATGCCATCCTTCAATTGCATGTGGGTCAAGTGGGTCATGCACGGCTGGGCATTTATTTTCTTCAGGGTTCTCCAAATGTCGGGACCGGAGCAAGAACGCACCCACCTTCGAGCCGCGGGATTTTGTCTGATTGAGCAGTTGGAGCGAGTTCCGGGTCCAGTCCTGTGCTCCATCATGGGATCCAGACATGCATTGTTTTTGGTGGAAACCCAGGTCTCAAAGGGGATTGGAACCGGGAATTTGTGTATCTCGGGCAATCTGCTGACAAGGGGCCGTCCGAGCCACATAGAGTATATCAGACACACCCCAAATGAGTGTGGCTGTTTTTGGTGAATCCCTCAGTTTGGGGGGACTGTTTGACTTTGAGACTGTCACTGTATGGGTTCAACCCAAACGGGGAGCTGCTCAGGCTTTATCCCCAATTGCTTAAGACACCCTCAATGCATCTCCCAAGACTATATCTTTATGAGCATTTTGGCACCAGCACTTATTGGGTGAAACGGTATGGGTACATCAGGCACGGCTCAAATGAAGCCAATTCTTTTGGGCCGATGCTCAAAGTTAGTTTTCATTTGGGGAGATGTTGTTTTTGCCGGGAAGTACAGAGCTCGAGCGTTGATTCAGAGCCGCTCCGCAAGGGAGCCAAAGGAAGGTTATGACCATTCATGGCCCCAAATAGTCACCACCATGCTATGGCTCTGAATCATGGGGGCAGGGTATTCTTGTTGAGGGTAATCTGTTCAGGTTGGTTTCAGGGGGGACCAAAAGGAAAGCCATGTTTTAGGGCACACACACTTACATGAAGTGTGTCAGAATCGGGTGACCCGCAAACTGGCTTGTTTCTTTCTAGGACCAAAGGGTGCCGAGCCTCCAACAACACCATGGTCACGTCTACCCTCACGGTGAACACAAGCGCCTTCAAACTGTGTGTATGTTTTACCCCTTTGAAAGGGCTGGTGAACCCCAAACAGGGTAGCAACTCCAAAACAGGACGCAGCCAGAATGGAGTGTCTTTCTTTGATATTTATTTGGGCAGTTTCGCAATTTTGAGGTTCTTTTTTTTTTTTTACCTTGGGGGGCTACTCTTGGCCATTTTTGGGGGGGTCCCTATGTTGAGACGACAAAAGTCATCCGTGGACATCGGGGCCCGACAAACTTCCGTGAGGAGCGGCATCGGGCCCAACGGCTTGGCCATCGACTACGGGGGCTACGGCGGTGGCGGCATCCAGGACTTGGACGAAGGCGGGAGGGGACTCGCGACTCGCGGCCCCGGTTTCTCCAACTTGGACGCTCGTTGTTTTTCAGGTACCCCCCACAAATTTCCATGTTGTTGAAAACCCAACATCTCAAAAGCCCCAGATGGTTTGCTCTAGTACATCAGATATTTCAAAGTTGTTTCCCATCCAGGCGTACCAAAGAAATGGGGGGCAACTGTTCAGGGTCAGAAAAAGAAGGGTTGGATCAAGCAATTGGGTGTATTTGTTTGGTTACCCCTTGCCTTTTCTTAAAAACAAAGGGCAAGCAACGGCAAAATCACCCTTTCTGAGTGGTCCGCTAAGAAAAGACAGGCCCAAATATGTTGGACATCAAACTAAATTCTCACTCAACCCCCTAGTTCTTTCTTGCTGGCTTGGAACCTTAACTTGGGGAGGTTCGATTAAGAGATTGGCTCGATAGTAAAGGGGTTTCGACAACCCATGGACCTTGAAACACCATATTTGCTTGGATGCTTTTTCAGGAATCCATGATCACGCGGCAACTATGTTGTTAAGACAAGATCTTTCCAAACATATCGCGGGCATCCGCCAAGCATCAAAACAAAAACTGCAAATTCAACAAGTGCGGTTCACAAACTTGGATCTCATGCTTTTGCTGGCGATGATGCTTGTCCAGTGCGACGGCAAATGAATATCGCCGCGCACCACTTTAGTGCGACGGCGAATGCATATAGTATCGCCCACACCACTGGTTACTTTGTTGTTCCTCAGGGTTCCTTGAAGCACATTGGCCGAAATAAAACCTTCCTTACCAGTTTCTAATGCTAGTGGTCTCCATGAGGATCATGGCGACAGGTGGTTTTGCTTGAGTTCCTACGCAGCACAGAGGAAAGCAGGAATATTGCCAGGGACAAGACCGCGGATTCTCCGAATCCCCAGTTACCTCAGCTTGCTTGGCGCAAACCAACAGGAAAATAGCTTTCTTTGGTCAGCAGACCGTCACTGCTTCTGACTTGTTTCCTGGCACTTGAGAAACAGAGAAACAGTCAGAGACGCCAACAAGATATTGGCTGGGAAACCAGCTTTTCTGACCGCCAATATCTGGCACCATGTGTTCTGATGTTTGAACTTGAGCCCGCCTCACTGAAGGTTGCACCCGAAAAGCAACCAAGTCGGTAGCACGTCAATGTCCTTGACACAGACAAGCTAACAAAAGCACAACCAAGCAAGCAAGCAATCAACCAAGCTATCCATCCGTCCGTGCCTCCACCCAGCCACCCAGCCATCCATGCATCCATCATCCATCCCTCCATTGCTTAATCAACCGAACAAGCAAGCAATCAGTTGATCAATCAAACAATCCAACAAACCCTTTGGTGCAGTTTTCCATTAAACCACTAAAAGTTAAACTGTTTTAGCAGGGGAGCAAATTTCGCAACCGAGAACCAACGGAGCTGTTTGCGGACACCAGGCGCCATGCGCCTGGTGGGTGGCCCTGGCAGCTACGAGGAGGCCATGCTGGGCATGCAGGGCTACGGGGTGGACGCGGACGGCCGAAGCCTCGGACCGGTTCTCCGAGCTCCGGAGATGTCTGGAGGGTACCCTCCCACCCTTTTCAACCTCACAGGGGGTCCCTTGAAAAGGAAGATGATCTTCCAGGACTCGTTCGGGGGTTCCTTGAAAAGGAAGATGGTGTTCCAGGACCCTCCTGTCAGGTTTTATGTTGATTGGTGGGAGGGTATTCATTTTGGGGCCGTTTTTTATTGAGCAAAAGAGACAGAACCCAGCCATTTTGGGGGACCCCAGGATTTTGCGGCTTTTGAGTTTGTTGGTACCTGGAGTCTGGAGTCTTCATGACACCAAGTGTCTGGGGCAGGGAATCCAGGGGGACCTCCAAATGGACGATTTTCATTTCACTTCAAACCACCCCCAACAAAAGTCGCACCCTCAAAAAGCTAGTCCCTTAGAGGGTGGTGTTAAACATCACCTGGGGCGATCCAAAGTGAGTTTCCTTCTCTGCAATCCAAACTAAATAGATGTTCAAATGGTTAACACATGTTTTGGTGGTGCCTTAGGCGATTGCGCGTCGGATTCGCAAGCCCATTCCTCAGCGCGAATCTCCCATCTGAGGAGAGCTGGTATTGCCCCCAGGGGTGGAGCCGGGATCCAAGGCGGGATCGGCATGCTCGCACCTCAACTCACCAACCTCCCGCCCCACAAAACCACGCCCCCAAGCCCTCCAAGAAAAAAACACTTGTGGTTTTTGTTGAGGCAGAAGCAAAGCACAACCACAAAACCACGAATGGCCGGGTGTTCAACGTATCCCCTATAGACTTGCAATTTTGACGCATCCTGACAATACGGGTTAAAGGGTGTTTATGGGTCTTGTCAGGTTACCAGGTTCGCCCAGGGGTGGGGATAAAGATATCCATAGGGTGGTGTGAACCAGCAGGTGTCCGTTCAACCCCGTGTGCATAATGTTGACTCCTTTGAGGCTCGGGGACGCTTTTGGTTTTGCAGCATGCATCAGGTTGACAGACGTGAATGGCCGTCGTTGCGCAACGGATTGGTTTCGCGAACTTGTCACGAAAAGCTCCACAGATTCAGGGCGTCCTGCTTTCCTTTCAGATGTATGTTCCGTTTAGAGATTCCCAGAACGAGATTCCTTAGAGCATGGGATGAAGATTCAAAGGTAGGGTGGTAATGTCTCTCTTGACCTCGCTCCAGACGTATGACCCCTTGCAACAAAGGAACAACACAACAGATGTATAAATATCTTGGTACGATAAGTTATACATGTCAGTCGTGTCCAAAATGTGTGCTTAACCTGTTTTCTGGGGGAGTTTTTTGGTATCGTTTTTGGGGAGCGCTGCCGTTTTGCATGTGTGTATCTATATATATATATATATATATCCCTGGGGTTCCTGTGGCTATGTTTTACGTGGTCGATAGGTTCGCCGCTGTATATCATGGTCGAGGGGGATTGATCATTTTTCCCGCCAGGTGCAGCGTTTCTGGCTTTTTGCCCATGTCTTTGCAGGATCTTGAAACTTAGCTAAGGTGATTGCAGGACCACTGGTGCTTTGCAACACTAGACCTTGGAATATTGTAATTGGGTCAACATCTAAATCGATTATGGAACAGTCGAATTGGATCAACTCTAGCCCTTCCCAGGGCGTCCATTAACTTTGCAGACTATAGGGGTGAGGGTGTGTGGAGAGGGCGAGGGTGCATATTTATACGCAGGCGATGGGCTTCACGGGATGGACCCAGTGGGGAATAGTGGGGATGCACATGTGGAACATCACATGTTTTGCAGTATATTAATATATATATATATATATTACATATGCAACACATTCCCCATAAATTCCATCCATCCAGGAATACGCATACTTAGACCTTCCGAAGGTACAGTTCTTTTGCCGATTGGTTTCAAGCGAGACCATCCCAAACCATCCGCTTGACCCCAAAAATGACCAAAGTCCTGACCATGGGAAAATCGCGGCGATGCTAAGAAAAAAGGCGACGGTGTATAGAGGGGTCGATCCAGAATAACGGAGACAAATAACCACATGGCCTTGGATCAACATGTAAGTTCGTAAGGACCCTTTGTGCTTGCATCTTGGTGACCACCATGGATCTAACCATTTGCGCAACAAAACGTAAAAAGGCCCGAAAATGATGAATGTCCTGCTAAAAGTAGCCGGTGCAAAAATATGCGCGTAGACGACAAAAAAGACACAAATATTTATGTGAGGAGAGGACGACTGTGTATAACGGAGACGAGGGAAGCCCAGGGTATGCATATACATCTTATTCATAATGTTGTATACACACATATTTATTTGTATATGTGTGTTGGAGAAAAAACAGCACTGCCCCCAGTTGTCAGCACAAACCCTGTTCGGAGAGCTAAACTAAGATAAATGCAGGCAAACCTGGAGGCGTGCTTGTGGGGATCAACGTCTAATCCTGGTTATGGACTTTTTCCAGGAACTCCAAAATGTTTGGAACACCGGACAGGCGAAGGGACATAGCGGGCAAAGTGCGGAGAACGAAACGCCACAGCATTCGCGAAACCGCATCTTTCACACACCGAAAGAGAAGGCTGATCCCCCGCTTTGGGGCTTTGGGGACGCTAAGGGTGGCCCAGCCATGGGCTCCCTTCCACACAGGTTTGGTGAAAATGGGGATGGGGTGGGGGGCCGGGGAGGTGGGGGGGGTGAGACATGGACATGGAGAATGAGCCCTAAGTTGCCAGGAATCGAGCTCTGATTTCCCACGGCCTCTTGGGGAAGCCAAAGTCATTTTGACTGCGGCTCGCATAAACATGTTTGAAGGGGTGCCATTTTCCCAGTGGAATCGATTCACGGCCTTGGCCAACGCGCAAAACCAACCTCAACCTGAATTTCTGACTTCAGGTTGGTGAATTCTCATTGGTCACCCAGACATATCTAAGATAGTTCCCCACTTCTTCCAGGTCGACTTATCATGCTTCACCCAGAAATGCGTCATGGTATAGCATGTTAATTCCATTTGAAACGCTCAACACATTAGACGATTTGGAAGCAACGAATCTGCCCTGCATTGTTTCACAACCCCCAAAAGCAAAAGAGGGTCCCCCTTTTTGATTCCTCTCAAAAGCCAGGGGGTTGTGTCTCTTTTTTGGGGGGCCTCAAAGGAAGCCGTTAAACGGACCCCAAAAGACACCGACAGCGAGGAGTACAACGAGTTCTTGTTGCAGTTGGAAGCCCAGGGCCTCATCGAGATCCACGAGGAGACTGGTTTCGTGGGCTGCGCTGCGGTGAGTTTGGTGTAGGTTTGATGTCTTTGTACGGATTTGTTCAAGCTCGCTGTTGGGTTTCGCAGTTTCGCGCGTGTTTTTTGTTCTTTTTTTTTTCAGGTGTCTTTGGGTGTTATGTTGACATTGTCTTTTTCTTGCGCTGGGTTCGGCTTCCACACCTCGATCCTATTGCTAGGTTTCTTCATTTTGGTCAAGAGCCGAAGGCCGAAGGGCCGAACAGTTGAAGCACCGGTTCTAGCCAAAACTCACTCAGGTCACCAACAGGCAAGCGGAAAGCCGGAGTTTGAGAATCCCAAGAAAGACTGCTTCGCCTCTCTTTTTCAAGGCCGATTCGAACTTGAGGATACTTGAAAGACCACCTTGCTCAGCTGATGTTGAGGATGCCCAAAGCAGGACAGGATGTATCCTTCTATCGAAGCCATGGAAGAGTGAGAGGTTCCTTTTGGTGGGTGGTGTAATGTTTCGCGGTTGGTTGGTATTTGCCACGGTTTCTTTTTTGTTGCGGGGAATTACGTGTGTGCTTTACATGGGGGAATGTGTCAAAACTAAGACCCAAACAAACACGACAAAGGGATGGGCCTTTCTGCAAACCAACGAAATCCTAAAAGAAGTCAGAAGAACTCCAAGTGGTTCTGACACCGTGACACATGTCTGGTCCCCAAATCGGTCGTCGCAAAAGCATGTTTTGTTAAACTCGGCCTAGATTAGATCAGTATCTATACATCCTTGCGTGTGTCTTTCAGCACATTATCCAAAAAAGGAATCCCGTCTCAACAATCAACAATGGTCAGCCAAAAGGATGATGTTTCAACAACTCCTGCATGTTTGGAAACCCAACCAGACATGGCCATGTAAACGGACAGCATCTTCCTTTGGGGGGGCACGCTGGACTTTGAACTTATTTGCGTCGAACTTTGAACTGCTTGGGACCGGGCTGGGTTGCCCTACTGGGAAGTAGCAACCCATGTGGTTGCTTAGCCCTGCATCCCAGAAAACGCAAACGTCACAGGGGGCCCTTTTTCACCATCCAGGGGGCTTGCGCAGCAAGCGCTCGCCTTGTTTGTCTGGAACCCCTTGGGTTCAACCAATGCTTTGGCCAAAGGTCGGTGTTCTTGGCTCGGGCAAGTTAAGCAGTTGGCATTCGCATGGGCCATTCACCTGAGGAGATCGTGGAGGTTCCACAGGTGGTCGTGGAGGAACGCGTGGTGCACGTGCCAGGCGAGGGTTTTGGGGAGGCGGGCCATAGATCTTCGAAACCCCAGGATCGGAGATGTCGAACTTCTTGTCCCGGAGCGAGTTTCTGGGAATTTCTCTTCGTTGGATTACATGCTTCCTAGACCTGTTTGGAACACGTATCAAAGGCAAGGCTCCAAGGGTTCCCGTCAATTTTGCCTCAAGGTTTGTTTGGGGAAGCTTCTTCTGGCGCCTTGAGACGCGCGGAACTTCCAGCTCAAGGCCAAACCAGTCAGGCATGTTCCGTAGCTTGGGAGCCAGGGTTGCACAGAAACGGGCCAACAAGGTTCCCTTTGTCCACCTGCTTGCGCGGCTGACAGAAGCTTTGAAAAAGGATTGATCACGTGCTTGCTGGAGGAACAATTCCGTAGTTTCTATTTTGTCATGTGACCAACGGACTCACCCAAGTCCCCCCACGTACGGGTCCAAGGGATGCCACAGGCCAAGTAGGTGGACCACCGCCCACAGCCGCCCGTGGGACGAACTCCATCTTTTGGTGCTTTTTGTGCTTGATTGGTTTTTTGGTGGGTGGGAAGGGGTGGTGGGGGGGGACGATTGCGTCACTTCTTCGAGTTTGCTTGACAAGAACTTCTTTATTTCCCGCTTTTGTGGGGTGTGTGGGGTTCTTTGTTAGTGTGCTGAGCTGTCTTGTTTTGCTGTAGCTCCTTGTGCCCAAACGATGGTGTCAGAAGACGTTCGTCTAGCCCTTGCCTTCATTATGTTGCTGCCTTTAGCTGGCGTCTCGCATTGCTTCTCCACACACTCGGTGCTGGGTCCCTTTTTCGCTGTCTGGCTGCCTTACTTGGACTCTCTTCTGGAAGTAGCGTGTCAACCCTTGTCCTTGTGTGTGCCGTCACGGTGTGCCCACACAGGTTTCCGCCTGACTTTTCGGCTTTAGGCGCTTAGGTTCCTTCATTGTGGTCGCGCGTCCTGGGATCGTCTGCTGCGCCCTTGCTCTGCTTCCATCGGTGTGGCTTGTGATTGTTGGGTCTTGCTTCGTCGCTTGTCTGGCCTGCGTCTTGTGCCTGCACAGCCACTACCCTCCTCGCCATGGCCCACTCCCTTGCCCGCGCATGCAGCTTGTGTGGCTTCTCCTGGTTCTCCCTCAGCTGCTGTCCCTCAGCTGCATTTGTTTGGCCACCTTTTCCGATGCTGACAGACAGGTTAAGGACCCCTCCCCCCCGTCAGCTTCTGAAAAGAGAATTCATCATGCGGCTTCCAGGCAACATGCGGTCTTGAACATGGCAAAATGTTTGACAGACGACGCTGACTCCTCAAGAGCCTGTGTGTCGCCTGCAACCGAAAAATCGACAAAGATTCGAGGAATTAACTTTTTGGTGACAACTGATTAAGGACCCCTCCCCCCCGTCGGCTGTTGGAAAGAGAATTCATCATGCGGTTGCCAGACATGCGGTCTTGAGCATGGCAACATGCTTGACAGACGACGCTGACTCCTCAAGAGCCTGTGTGTTGCCTGCAGCTGAAAACCGAGCCGGGTTTGAGGAATTAACTTTTGGGTGAACAACAAATTAAGGACCCCCTCCCCTTGTCGGTTTGTTGAAAAGAGACTTCATCATGCGGTTCCCAGGCAACATGCGGTCTTGAACATGGCAAATGCTTGCTTGACAGACGATCGTTGGGGGCTGAAAAAAGAGCTTTTGAAAGAAGCGTGTCAGTGGAATTTGGGAACGCACAAAAATCCCCACTGGCTCGGCGCATCTCACATGAGGGACAGACAGTGCTCTCCTTTCCCCCTTGTAATCGCAGCTTGGACAGGTTGCTCCGAAGCAAAAAAACGCACGATAATACACGGGCTACTACGGGCGGTGTACCTATAGTTGGCGTTGCCCATCCCGTGTTGTTTCAACTCTGACGCTTCAGCATTGCGGTGAACAAGCGGATGCTGTCGCGAGTGGAGTGACCCAGGGATGCACCTAAGAAGGCGACCCTTGGAATTCCATTTATGGTTCCAGTTTCCCTCACTTTTGATGAATTGGCTCTATAGGAGAGCCGGGAGATATAGAACAAATGATAAACGGTGTCCTTTGGCTTTCTCGGCACCAATGTTTCGACCTTTGATCCAGGTTGAATGCGAGAATCTCTGCATGATACCATACTTGGTTCCTAGACGTGCACCAGGGTTTCCTGTGGTGTTTTGCCGTTGCCACGCCGAAGCTGAGTGCCGGGTTCAAGCCGAAACAGTTTGATTTCCCCCCCCCCTACACCCCTTTTGCTTGGTGGCTTCACTAAAATGGCTTCTTGGCCCCAATAGGAACAGGCCACTTCCGAAACCAGGTCGCTGAACTGAAAAAACAATCACTCAACCATCTCCAAACACGACTCAAACTTCAACAAAAAAGAAACCTACTCTTTGTGCAACAGTGAGAAAACTCCAACAAAAAACACGAGGACCGTTTTTCCTTGTTCTTTTTGGAACGGGGGGGGCGGTTCACTCAGGCGGGTGTCTCGCCAGGCCGGAAGCAGATCCAGGAGCGGCTCATCGAGGTGCCCAAGGTGGCCGGGAGCCCGAATACCTCCCCGCGGTTTTACTCACCGGCAGGAAACCCCCCCAAAGAAAAACCAAGCCCCGTTTTTTTGGGGGGAAATTGGGCCCCGGTGTTCTTTTCTTTTCTTGTTTTGTTTTGGGGGGGGGGTTCACCGGCAGGAACCCCCAAGAAAAAAGGAAAAACACAAGCTCCGTTTTTGTAGGATCGGAAGCTCCTGTTTGGGAAAAAATGGGTCTCAGTTTCATGTTTTTTTTTTGGGGGGGGGGGCAAGCTGTGTGATTCTTTGAAGGGGAGTATGAACATGTTAGCAATGTCCGGGATAGAAGAAACATAAAATCAAAATCGAAAGCAAACAACAACACAATAGTATTGTGGGGTCTTATCCAACACTTCAGATTTTAAGGTAGACTCAGACTAAGTATCTGCGCAACAAACAATGTGACGTCACGTTCTGGGGGAGCGATGTCAAAGTGAAGGTCCCTTTATTGGGCGTGCCAAATTCTATTTTGTGGATGAACTCCTTTCGTTTGCCCAGTATCAAGCAGGCCCTACTCTGAAACATGTTTTTTGTGCCTGACAGAAGCCTGTTTTGCGAATCCAGGTTCCAATTTTTCCCTATCCGGACCTCCAGTGGTGCCCGAAAAAAGTGTTTCTGTCTTTGTTTTTGGAACCAAAACCCACGCCCAGAGACACGCACACTCATGTTTTTGGCGGGGTGTAGGGACCCTCGTTTTCACATGGCCAGAGTGAGTTCTAGATATATCCCGCCTGCCTGTGTAACGTGATGTCCGTTTTTTCCCTCTCTTGTTGGGGACCTCTTTTTGCACGTACCCCAGGGACTCTTTCCGGACTCCGAGGAGTGGGTGGAGCGCGTGGAGTACGAGGACTTTGTGGAATACCGGGAGGTGCCGGTGGACAAAATCATCGAGGCGCAGCAGAATCGGTGGACCGATCTTCGGGTTCTTTTGGGGGGAGTCCTCATCCCTTTCTGAGGCTCGGCAGCCCGTTTTTTTTTTTTTTTTAAGCAGCCGAAGCCACGTTGGGGAGAAAGCACCCGAAAAAATGTTTTTGCGCCTGGCCCTGAAAATCTAAAAAATCAACATGATTTTTGTTGCCCAGGGTCAGGTCACGGACACCCACGCCGCCCTCATCCTCCCAGCTGCAAACGACTGCAACCAAGCCACTCAGTCCCCGGCTTCCCAAGCATATGGTCGCTTCACTTTTCAATATCGCCAGGTGTCCTGCCTGCAGTATATGCGTGCATAGATGCTTCACATGTTGGTACTGAAGTTCGGCTTTTTTGCAAACCTAGTGGCTGCGGGGCATCGCTGCCGATCAGGCATGCGGTGTGGGCTCTTGGGGGTATGGTTGTCCACGCTTTTAAACGTACTTTCCACGGTTTGTCCATGGTTTGTCCACGCCTCATTTTCTTTCAACATCGATTAAAAGATCAAACAACAACACGCGATGAGACTCCTTGGAGCTGTGGACAAGAAGTGAAAAGCACCCACGGCGTGTGATTACAACGGGATGAAGCGACTTTAAAACATACTTAGCTTATTTCATATAAGGCAGCAATAAAGTGATTGAACCTCTAGTCAGGAGCAAGCCGTCTCAAACTGGCAAAGTTTCTCTACCCCCAAGACATCTGCGACCATGTTTGGCACTGTCTCATCAAGACTTGTTTCTCAAAATGGTAGACCCCTATGCTTCCTCGACTATTCTTTAAACAGCCTCGTCAAAAAAAAGAAACAAAAACAATAATAAACATAATAATAATATTAATAATAATAATAATAATAACAAACGTGATAATGATAATAATAATAACAATAATAATAATAATAATAATAATCATAATAATAGTAATAATAATAATAATAATAGTAATAATAATAATAATAGTAATAATAATAATAATAATAATAATAATAAAGGCTATAAAAGCAATGTCCCTCGACCAATTAAAGTGGGGCGGGATGGCATCGGTGTGTTGGGTATGTGAGGTGCGGTGACTCGGTGACTCGGTGTTGTTAAATGGATTCATGCCACATGGTAAGACACGAGAAACAAACAAAAACATGAGCAGGGATGCCACAGGCATCCTGTGCGCTTCCCGCGGCACAAAAATGGCTGCGGCTCAGAAAACCGGAACCAACATGGAACCCTGGTATGTGGAAACATGGACCAAAACCTGCGCAACCCCTCCTGCTTAATTTTGAGCCACAGCCTAATGGGAATACTCCCCTGATTAAAATGGAACCCGAGGGGGGGTCTAAGAGGAAACCTAAGAAGAGGGTCTTCCAAAAGCAAACGCCTCCTAACGGTACGGGCATCGGTTCCATGGCAACCTGAGTCTACAAACAGACACGGACGCTGATGAACATGGCCAGCCCGGATATGCCATTGCCGAGGGAACCACCCTTCCACCCAAATGGGACAAGGATGCCCTTTTTTCCGCTAGAGCCACACTTTAAACTTTTCTGGACGCTCGGAATCCGGAATCCAAAATGGTCCAGAAACTGACAGATCCTCCAAAACCCCATGTGACCATGTGTGTTAAAATTAGGACAACCCCCAAAATGGATTTCGGTTCTCCTGGTGGTTTCCTTTTAAAAACCAGGCAAAACAAGGCGTGGACACCCAAAGAAAATCGACCACTCCATGTGGGTATGGGTCAAAAATCAACCACCAGGGGACCACAGGTTTCGGTCCATGTTTCCACTTGCCAGGGCAACCCATTTGGGGGTCACCCGATTTCTGACCCACAGCCATGTGGGGGGTTTCGAGGTCCCGGAGATCGAGTACAAGGTGAAACAGGTGGACCAAGCCGTGCCGCAGACCTACGTGCAGGAGATGCGCGGGGGGGGAGGTTGGGAGGGGAGGAGTTGGGGAGGAGTTGGGGAGGGGAGGAGTTGGGAGGGGAGGGGAGGGGAGGAGTTGGGAGGGGAGGAGTTGGGAGGGGAGGAGTTGGGAGGGGAGGGGGAGGGGGAGGGAGATGAATTTGTTGGGCCAGGGCATTCTCCAAAAAAAAGTACCACACTCAGTTGGAACGGATCTTGATGGATCCTAGAAATCCTGTTGATCTGGGCATCCCTTGAGACATTCGGAAAGCAGGGGGTGGGAAGGGCGAAGGAGACCCAATTCCAGGTCCCTTGCCCAGAAAGCATGTACGATAGCCACAAATGGCTTGTTTCTTTTGGTCTCACCATCCAACAGGGGCAGCGTCTGAGATATTTGAGACCGCCCATGTTTGGAAGTCAAACTTAGAACTTGGAACATGGTGTCACATTGGTTTCCTCAGAGCTTAGGCCCATCTCTGGGGTTCCAAGATTGAATAGTTGGAACAACTCGCGATTTCCCCAGAAGGAAACCGTTGTAAACGTCCGTCACCTGTCGGGAAGAGAAGCAAGCGGGAAACCGTTCGAGCTTGGTATGTGGTTCCTGATGCTTCAACTGGAAATCCCGGAATTTCTGCTTTCTTCTCCCAGAAAGCATGCCAACAGACTTAAATTATACCGTGGATGGACAAAGCATCCACACCAGTTGGGAGGGATGAAACCTTATGAGTACTGGAAAAAGTCACCCTGGTGCGAAATGGATTTCGTCCATCCACATGGTGATTCTTTGACGCCCAGAAACAACTAGAAGAGCGGTCTTCCGAAGGGCCTTTGGCCCTTTCTTGTTTCTATGTCGGAGGGGCCTCAAGATTCTCGGTGTGACTTATGATTCTCCCTTTAGAGACCGTCCAAAAGGCGGGTTCTTAATTTTGGGAAAGGCGCCTCTGAGATGAAAAGTGCCCTGAAACCTAGACGGCTGCTTCCCGAAATGAGGGGCGCTTTGAAGAATTGGGAGAAGGACCCGCTCGTGGTTGCAGTTGAGAAAGCTACCAAGAGGAAAGCAAAAATATTTTTTGTTACCCAAACCTTGCACAAAACCCAACCAACCCCAAACTGTGGAAAAAATTGCTGGTTTAGCAACACCCCCCCCCTTGAAGTTCCTCAAACTTGATGTGCAAGGTTTGAGGCTCTCGGCTACTGTAGGGGTAAACCGAGAGCTCGGGCTCCCTTTGTGGATTCCGTTTCGGAGTGGGACAATTTTTGAATCTTGCAACATGCTTCTCCACACAATGGCTGTGGGTCAAAAATAGGTACCCCAAATGGAACCCTGGTAAGTGGAAACATGGACCAAAACTTGCGGTCCCCTGGTGGTTTAATTTTGACCCATACCCAAATGGTTTCTCCCTTCTCCCTTTGAACACAATTCAAACAATATAATGATTGATTTCAGGACGCAGCCAATAACAGGGCGGCCCAGTTTACCGCCCACTTTTTGTTCGACATGCACCAGATAGCAAAACACTGGCTTCTCCAAGAGGTTAGGATGGGAAAGCGATGAGACCCCTCAAGCGGATAAATGCTCAAGCTGGAGCACTTGCCAATCCCCGGACAGTTGAGATGATACCTGTAGCAACCAAAGGAACAACTCCCTTCTCCTTCAGGAGTCCCTAAGTTTCCGGAATAGCGGGCTCTTTTTGGGGATTCCCTTTATTGCATGCTTCTTCATGGGACCCAAAGAAAAGCCACTACCCCCACCACCACTTCCTGGTGGATCCTTTACTGAGGTTACTTCTGATATGAACCCCTTCATGGTGGGGCGATTTGCCATGAACGGAGAGGGTTACTCTCTCCTCGAGGACCCGAGAGAAAAGGACACGGGCCAATTGTTTGGTCGAAATTCGGGATTCCCTACTGGCCCCCAGTAGGCCCCCTACAACGGTCTTTCTTATGGTCATGAAACAGAGAAAAGGGTACCGAGCCTCGAAGAATCACACCCAAATCGATTCACCTAGGAGCACTTCGTGGACAGATACAGGGAGGTGCATTATCCGGATCGCGGGGTGTCGAATGGTTTGCACATGGATTTGTCTCAAATCGGGAACCCCCGAGCTCATTGGTTTCCTTTGGGTGTTCCAATTTGCTTCTTGCCGACCAAAGGGGGCTAAAAGGTACCCTCAAAAGCCAACAGCACACCCAAAGAAGACGGGTTTGCCCTGCATACAAGACACCCAAGTAGGAGGTTCTCTCCACCAACGAAAAAAACGCGTCGCGTGAACCGAGGTGCCGGTGACGCAAGTGCAAGAGGTGGAGCGCACAGAGCACGTTCCCGTGATGGCTGGGAGCCCGACCGGGTCCGATCATTTTTATTTGGTTTTGCAACAGGGCAACGCCCTTTTGAGGCTTGGTTGGTTGGTTGGTTGGTTGGTTGCTTGGTTGGTTGCTTGGTTGCTTGGTTGCTTGGTTGCTTGGTTGCTTGGTTGCTTGGTTGCTTGGTTGCTTGGTTGCTTGGTTGCTTGGTTGCTTGGTTGCTTGTTTGCTTGGTTGCTTGGTTGGTTGCTTGGTTGCTTGGTTGCTTGGTTGCTTGGATGGATGGTTGCTTGGTTGCTTGGTTGCTTGGTTGCTTGGTTGCTTGGTTGCTTGCTTGGTTGGTTGGTTGGTTGGTTGGTTGGCTGGCTGGCTGGCTGGCTGGCTGGCTGGTTGGATGGTTCTTCGTTGTCTTGGTTTCGAAGGAATGCCGAGGGGTAGCCAAGTAGTTGGGGGTCCCTGGGTTCATTTTGAGACAAACCATGTCACGTGTGGGTCAGAACCATACGCGTTCTTGAAGTTGCCTTTGGCTTTGCTGGCCGATAGCTCTTCACCGTTTGGAAAAGGACGAGCATGCCGGAAAGAGTACTTCAACAGCTGCAGATTTACCCTGTTCATGGAAGACTGTATACTTAGCTTTGTCATTTGTTTGAGGGGTGCCCGCACTTTCTCCAATTTCTCCACTTTCTCCGATATCCAGTCGCGCGTACCCTCAAACAAAGGACACGCACTTTTCATTTGGACCACCCCCCGATCCTCACGTCGAGCTTTTGGAAAGCGGGTGTCGCGATCACGTCGCCGAGCCTTCGGTGCGCTCCGAAGGTGCCCAGGGATTGGCAGCCTCCGAATCTGCAGGCGTCCCGACCCGGGCTCTTGGCTGGACATGGGTGGCTCGGCTGTTTTTGAGGGGAACCGAAGCCAATGGTTGGTGTCCTTTATGGGAACCCCTAAACAGCCCCCATAAACAGGTTTCTTTGTTTTGGTCGGTTTCCTTTGGTTGCTTTTGCTCTAAAGCTAAGCAGCAGGGAAAATTTCCAGCGAGAGACGTTCCGATCGCCACAACCCGAGGCGTCCGATTTTGGAGCCCGGTCGCATGCCGGAGGGGTTGTGTGCACGGGCTCGAAGCTAAGATCATGGGTGGGGAATAGGATAGGTGTTCAGTCCCAAAACACTAGGCTTCTCCAAAGTACATACACACAAGAAGGGCTTGGGTTTCCCTGGAAAAAGGTTGGCAAGGACCTGGATGTATCTGGAAGGCCAGTTTGGGTTGCTCACTTGGGAAGCACAAGAAGTGTGAAACTGCAGGCATGGCTCATGTTGGTCTCACACGAAGTTGCAGTTGCCACAACCATGTTCCAAAAGGTGATGGCACGATCTTAAACAGCCTGACACGTTGAAATTGAACTGCCTTAACCAGCAACTCCGGAAGGAGGCCACGAGCCCGTGTTTCTCCCCAGCGCCCAAGCTTACGGAAGGTACCCACAGAATCTAAAGGCAAGAACGTGGAAGGCCTCAACTCCGTCTTGGAGAACACGCCTGGGACCTTGTTGCAACGGGGTTGGTTGGAGGTTCAAACCGTTCAGACCTCCTTTGGTGCATGCCTCTTCTTCGTTTTTTGCGGAGAGGGTGTCCTTCAAACTCAATTGCCAAACAAGAGTGCTCCTTTTTCCCATGGCCACAGGGGTTCTGGGGATACCGGCCAGGCTATGGGCATGGCGCCGGCGCTGGCCTCATGCACCGGTCGCATGCAGAGAGTCACGGGATATGTTTTCCATGTTCACGTAGGGTATCCCCCGAATCCGTTCGGCTGGTTGTCCGTGAGTCAAGATGATGGTCTGGGGAAGTTTTACTTTCGGGGTGTTTGGCTGCTTTGGCCCGAGGCCCTTATCCGATCCAGACGGCCTCAGTTACAAAGTTTCAGAACTGGTATGTTCCGACTTGCAGCTTGTATTTGATGGTTTCCTCTGGTTGCTTTCGCTCTTTGAATAGGGTTCCCTTGGTTCTTCAATTTGTAAATGATGGATCCCCTGGGCACTTCAGTTGCATGGTGCTTTGTCTTGTTCTGCCTTGGCTTTTTAGTTGGCTATGAATATTGACACCGCCTCACAAGTGGTTGGTGGACAGAACTCCCCACCTAAAATCGTGTCCGCCAAAGGGTCCCTAAAACTCACGAAAAATGACTCAGTGCTTGCCATTGCCACCACTTGTTCCCAGACCCTGCGTTGCCAAAACCTCGAAACACTGAACACCTATATGGGGCCAACCAACTTACTCATGGCATTTGGTTGTTGGTTTCGGATTTACTCGTCCCATTGGAAAGCAAACCGGAAACCAAGGGAACCCGCCCGTGTTGAAGGTGGGAACCAATTAAACTTCCTCCCAAGAGTTGCCAAAACAAAGCGTTTGCTGTGAATCGTGTGGAGTTGCTCGGGGCCAAGCACCATGTTTAGATGGCTTGGCCTCTCTCGGTCAGATGCGAAGCCACCTTTTGATATTATGTGAGTGTGTGTGTGAGAGCACGTGTTTCTGAGTTACCCCGTTACCCTTTTCAGGTTGATTCACAACTGGAAACCAGAAGGAACACAGCAATTTCGGGGGCTCCCCGCAGTTTGAGCATGCCCAAATCATGGGTTTGTCAACTCCAGCCCAACGCACTTGCCAAAATCATTGGGTGTTCAAAAGCAAAGCTCGGGTCCTCCACAGAACCCGCGGCCAATTTCCCAAAGGCCAGCTCGAGTTGAGGCCCAGCAGATGGTCGCCACCTGAAGGCTCGGAAAGGATCAATTGCCAATATACTCGACCGCGTGTAGGACAAATGCCCCAGTAAAAATGACAAATCCTCTTCAAGCTGGCATATATTTCACATACTTGTTTCTGGGGACAACCGCTTATCACTGTTTTCTGGCGAAACAACGTTTTGGCTTGGGACATCCACTCCCAATCGATCCGCTCTCCACAGAGACCCATTGGCCGTGCCGGAAGAGTCCTTTTGACAGGTCAAAAGCACTTGGGTGACTTTGAAGCGGACAATCATGGTGCCAGCAAGCCGCAAAATCAAGTGAAGGACCGCTGTAGAGGGTCTCGTCGAGTGCAGGCGCGAAACGAATGCTGGCCTGTGCCAGCAGAAACAGCCGTGAGAGAGGAAATTCGTGCTGTGAGGCGGGGTTGGGCAAAGAGTCAGGCTTCCGAGGATGATGTTGTGGGAAATCAAATGCGCAATTTTCGGAGGTCTTGCAACTTCCTTTTCTAGACGTTTTGGAAGACGCCCACTGATCGGTTGGAGCTCCAGCTGCTTTACCATCCCTGTGTTTGGGGCATGTTCTGTGTTTTAGCCGGACGTCAAGCGGCTTGACTCCATTTGTCCAAAATTATGTTTCGTTTCGTCCCGGTTTAGAAATATGAGATCCTTGTTGTCCAACAGGGACGGCCCTTTCCGTCCCCAGCAAGGCTGATGGCTCGCCTATGTTCCAAACCCTGGAGCTGGGGCCCAATAGGCCGAGCGAAGCCCGGCTTGTGTCCGAAAGCTGTGAGATTGCAGGTCGGGTTTGAGCGCCGGAGGCCGACTTGCGGTCTCTGCCCTATGCAAGTCATGTCCTGAAAGTGGGGTCACAATGGTCACCCCCTCTTTGGGATGGGGAAAGGGAAGCAAACATGTCTTCTTTGTTTTCTGCTTTGGGAAACAGCCAAATCTTCTTTCCAAGAGTTAGTTCACAGCTGAGTCCCTCTTGGGACTAATTCTCTGGCAAGGAAAGCTGGGGTGTTTCCGAGGATTGGGGACCAACCCTTGTTTCCAGCTGAAGCGTTCGTGTGATGGTACGAACTCATGCACACACGGGCATGCCCCGGTTTAAGTGGTGATTCTAAGCGAGAAGTGGCCAAAGTATGACGACCACCGGTTGGGAAAATAAATGGACCCCCGGTTTCAAGTGCAGAAATCGTCCTTTTTGGAGTCCAACTTGATCGGTCGAAAAGTCCTGGCCCAAGGCAACCCCCTTTTTCGAGGGCAGAGGCCGACAGTCCGCCCGCGCACCGCGCGCAAGCTGAAGTTTGATTTGACGCTCCTGTCAAGTGGAAAAAATCCGGATGCGGCCGGAGCGGTTCATAGCATGGTCATTGAAAGTGGGCCCATCGCGTTCCGTTGACTGGCTCATGGCAGGCTTGGACGTGACAAGATCTTTGAACGGCCTGGGTTGCTTTTTAAAATCATTTGGCAAAGTCGAGAGACCCCCAAAAGTCGAAAGGGGGTCCCTTTGTTTCCTCAAACAAATCCGTCAAAAGGCAAGCCCTGGTTTCCTGGTCACGTGGCGCTGCCAGTGCCTCGCTTAGAGGTGAAAGTCACAGAACTGAACTTGGGAAAGCCACGGGCCAGTGCAACAAGGCGGATGGGGTCTCTATGATTCACGGTGGTCCCTTGAGACCGTTTGAAAGTTTTTTTCTCAGACGACCTCTAGGATTTCCTTTGCCGGAAGTTGGACATATGTCTTTGGGTCCCGGCCCTAGGTGGACCGCCGAAAACAGCAATCAAAGGCTGAATGTATGAGTTTCATGTTGATATTATCATTGTATCAACCCATGGATATCATGTTTAATAGAAGCGCAGCTACAGGACATTCTATAGGAAGCTTGCCTTGGCCTTTGCCGCAGTTTTCAGACAGGCGACCAGCAACCCACCTCAACCCAACCCTGCCATGCTTTGGTCCTCTGACGTCCTAACCCCTAAGACTTAGGCAGACATTAGGCAGACATCTCCCGCCCAAAAAACGATATTTCCTGACAGGGGCTGAAGGGGGTTTAGGACCAACACTAAGCTGCAGATGGCTCGCAACAAGTCCGCTTCGGCCAAGCAGGCAGCGGTCCCAGCGAGCCACTTTTCCCACTCCGAGCCGAGCTTGGCGCTGTAGCTGGATGGAAGCTCAAAGACTTGGCGCGATGGCATGAAGGAGAGCACGCCTCAGAAGGCGCACCGCCAGTGCCGCCCTCTGAAGGGAGGGTCCCTTTATGTTCCACACTTGCAGGTCAATAGATCAACCATGATCAACCCCATCCCCATCGTTCATGGGCACACTCATATTCTGCGAGCCGGTAATTGTTCGCAACCCAAGTTTAACTCCGATGGTTTGTTGTGGCCACTTCGCCGATTCCCGATCCAGTTGAGCGGTTCCAAGTTCATTAGCTTTGCGCCTTGATCTTTTGCTTTCGAAGTTGTATCAGCGAAAGGGCCACAGTTGCTTTCTGCCCTGCTTCTATTTGCCCAAATTGTTGGGTCCAGCATGAAGCTAGGGGCTGATTCCCCTAGTGAATTTGTCATTGGCGATTTTCAGTGGATCACGCTAGAGTTTTTCCTGATCAGCACTGCCAAGCGAGCGGTGGGTGAGACTAGGCCCACATGAAAATCCCTGCAACCCCTGCACTGGTCAATTCGGCGTGAGCTGGGTTTGTGTCAAATGTCGCAGAGCCCTCCAGTTGGTTTCTTTTTTCAGTGACCCTTCAAATAGGCAACAGCCGCATTTGCATACCGGTAGATCTTCGAGTAGGGCCCCCCAAAATGGTGGTCTTCCCTTTGGGTTTCCTCAAACAAAAATGATGGAACCCTCCAAAAAAGCCACACGGTGAGGTTTAGACCCGCAAAGCCACTTCCCTTTTCACCCCCCAAGCACCGGACAGCTTTTTTTTTTTGAGCGACACATGTTATGCAAAGGCCAACCCCCTCCCCTCAAACCCTTCCTCCCTCAACCAACAGCTAGAATGGCATGTGTTGACTGCGGTCAGACTAACACCTGGCTCATTCCCCCCCCATTTCGAGACCGGGCCCTGGGTTTCGGTGTCGTCCCATCCCACTGCCGCAGCCGCAGGCCTGGTTTCGGCTCCCCTTTGGCCATGGCTATCAGCTGCTGGCGCACGCCCCTGGCCCCAGCGTGTTTCGCGCATTCGCGGGGGCTCAACTCAACTCAACCTACCAAAAAGGATGCCCTCTTTTTCCCACGGCCACTGGGCATCTGAGAGTTTGACAATGGAAAGGCGTCGACTCGGTGTAGCAGGAAGTTGCGGCTTCCATGTGCCCAGAGGGTCCAAGTAGCTCATAGGTTCGCGGTGGGTTTGATTCAAGGGACTTCGTGTACAGGCAAATCCGCAAAAGGGCGCCAAATGGAACCAAATTTAGGCCTCCAAGACATGGGTTCAAACATGTTCAAACATCAAGCCCGAGCTGAAACTTGCTTTTGGCAGTGGCGCATCAGGCCACCAGGAATTCATCTCTGACCCCTCGCCTTTGGGCCTTTGGTTTGGTCCCTTTGGTTTCCCTTGGGTTTCCCTTTAAACCACCCCAGAAAAGGGTACCCGCAAAAATATCCCTGAAAGAAAAGGGGTCAACTTTGGTAAAGCCTGGCTCCAAGCATTGGGTGTGACAGCTACCAAGGGACACGTTCCTCGATTTGAAAAGTGAGAAATCAGGAATCCTCAGATGCCCTGTTGGAGCCATCAAACAGAACATTCAGGTCAGGTTAGGAGGGGAACTGCAACCATCTGAAACAAGCATAAAACGACCGACCGAACGACAGACCAACCATGAACTGCCAAATAGGCAGACCGACTACGTACCAGACAGAGACAGGCAAGCAAGCAACCCAACCAACAAAACACAACAAACAAGCAAGCAGACAGACAGGCAAACAAACAAACAATGAAACAAATATATTAAATAGAAGCAAGCACATCACAACACCCCGTTTGCAGGAGCTCGCCCTTGGCCGACCAAGGCCTATCGCTTTCCGAGTCAGGAGTTGTCCAGAGCGAACTTGCCACAGGCGCCAGTGGGCGGAGCTGGACAAAGCGTTGGTCGAGTTCGGTTTCTCAAAAAAGGAATTTAGCAGGGCTCCTTAACTTCCCCAGATTTAGTTTCCCTTTTTGATTTTTTTGCTTTTTTGTGGTTCCCTTTGTTTGCCACTAACCAGGCAAAAACATATTTTTTGCTGGGGTCCTAATTCCAGCCAAGTTAAAAGATACATTTTGCCAGTGGGTCAAAAATAGGGCAACCCCAAAATGAACCCTGGTAAGTGGCAACATGGACCAAAACCTGTGGTCGCCTGGTGGTTTAATTTTGACCCACACCCATTTGAAACATGGTTCTTTTTCAACACCAAAGTTGGAAACCACCGTTTACAAGGCAATGTTGTATAATGTAAGGATCCCTGTTTAGTCACCTACAATTTCCGTTACCTGGTTGACCTTGGGGGGGGGACATTCTCCAGAAAAAAATGGCAGGGTTCTTCTATTGATTCCCTTTGAGTACAAACCGAACGAGAACCTTCCGTCTCGAAGCCATGAGTCTGTTTCAATTGGCATGTCCCGCAACCAGAGCCGTAGCTGCATAGTTTCCTCAAAATGAGTGCTGGTTTTCCTTTGTAACTGCAAAAAAAGGGGTGCCCTCCAAAAGTGACACACCAAACTGGGCTTTGAACTCGAGCCTTCGCTGTACGGCAGGAAGGCCAGGCGAAGGGGTACGGTAGATGCCTTCTGGTCTCTGGTACCGAGTCCAACTGCATGTTTTGGGTACTCGTTAAACGCGGGCCTGGGATATTTGATGTATCTCATAGAATTCCCCTTAAATGCCATTGTGTAAACATGGCTTCTGCTTTACCTTCAAAAGGATGTGCCTTGGTGGTCCTTCGAAAACATATAGGGGGCCCTTGAACACATAGGTCTCCTTTGTCTGTGCCTCTCAAAGTGTTCTTCCTTTCGGTTTCCAGGCCAACCCTTGCAAGCTGGGG